CTATGGTATCACCTACTTTAGCTTAAACTAGGTACGCCCTTAAGAAGAGTCAGATGCGAGGCAGTTTCCACGACGCAGCGCCTGTGAACCTCGGCGCTTCAGGCGGCCCGGGGGTTATGGCAGGAATGGGAGCGTTGCTGCAAGGAAGCTCCATGGAGACGGACTATTCGCGTCCGAGTATGCTGGAGGACCACGAGATTGTCCGAGGAGCGGACAAGTCGTCGGATCCCAAGGATATTGTGATCAAGCAGCTACTGGAAGAGAACAGGTCGCTGAGAGAGCAATTGACGATGAAAGACCAAGTGATTCACGAGCTGGAGACCAATGGAGGACGATCACTGGAGGCCCCAGCCGTTGGAGCGGGAAAATTGAGATCCACGGCGCCGCAGATGATTCTGGATCTGCGAGATGTCAAGAAGAAACAATTCCAGCTTTTCGATGCGGCAGAAGTGGGCAACTGGCACTTGATTGCCACGTTGCTGCGGGATAACGTGGTGGATGTGAACGGCGTGGGCATCAACCAGACGTCGGCGCTGCACTTGGCTGCACGCAACAACCACCCGAATGCAGTGAAGGAGCTTCTGGCGCGTGGAGCGGACCCGTCTGCACGTACGGGCGACAGTTACACGGCGCTGCACATTGCAGTTCAAGCGGGCAACGTTGAGTACGTATCTTATTTTTTTAAAAGTTTAAAACGGTTTAAAACGAATTTTTTACTGTGTTTTATACAGATGCGTGAAGGAACTTCTAGATGCAGGAGCGGACCCGAACGTCACGGACTACCAGGGTAACGCTGCCATCCACATGGCCGCTGAGTCAGGCGATATCCCCACGGCGAAGCTCTTGGTGGCTCGTGGCGCTCGTATTGATGCACCGAACGCGAGTGGCAGTCTCCCTGTGCACTTGTCGCCGATTGGCCACCCGATTCGTGTGCTTCTGGGCAGTGGTTCGAACTTGGCAGCGACCAACCCGTCTCAACCACCGAAGCCGCGCAACGAGATGGCTGCGCGTGAAGGTAACGCAACACAGGTCAGCCACTTGGCATTCAAGAACAAGTACCAGAAGGATCTGGCGCTAGGTCCGCGAGATTTCGAGTTTGTCAAGGTGCTTGGTCGCGGTGCATTCGCCAAGGTGTATCTGGTGCGTGGTAAGGGCTCGAACCGCGACAAGTGGTACGCGCTGAAGGCGTACAACAAGCAGGCTATCGTGCAGAAGAACCAGGCCCAGTACATCCACACAGAGAAGGCAGCACTGCAGGCGTGCTCGGACCACCCCTACATTGTGACGCTGTACTACGCGTTCCAGTCGCAAGACCGTCTGTTCCTGGTCATGGAGTACTGCGGCGGCGGTGACTTGCTCTCGGCGCTTACTCGACGGAAGGCCTTCACGGAAAGCGAGGCGGCCTTTTACATTGGCGAGATCGCGCTGGCGCTGTCGCATCTGCACTCGAAGAACATCGTGTTCCGTGATCTCAAGCCCGAAAATGTTGTGATGGACTTGGACGGCCACTGTCTACTGACGGACTTTGGTATCTCGAAGGAAGGCATCAAGGACCACACGTCGGCCAACACGTTCTGTGGCTCTCCCATGTATTTGGCACCGGAAATGCTGTCCCGTTCTGGACACGGTTTCGCGTTGGATTGGTACTCGGTGGGCGCTCTACTGTTTGAGCTGCTTACTGGTCTGCCGCCATTCTACACGAACGATAAGAAGCAGCTGTTCCACAACATTCTCCGTGGCCACTTGGTGATCCCAGAGTACCTATCGTCCAACGCCCGCGACCTTATTCAGAGATTATTGCACCGTGACCCGAAGCAGCGACTGGGATCTGGCCCCACGGGCGACCGCGAGATCTTTGACCACCCGTTCTTTGCTGGGGTTAACTGGGAGAAACTCAAGGCGCGTGAACTGCCGCCTCCGTTCCAGCCCAAGATTAAGAAGGACCCATCTGGTGTGCCCGATACGTCCAACTTCCCGCAGGCTTTCACGGACCAGGAGATCTCAGAGATGGAGCGGGGCTTTGACCTTATGGACCCCAACGCTGCCCAGGTGCAGCGCCCCAACCCGAATGGACACAAGGACGACAAGCGTCTGTTTAAGGACTTCGACTTCACACCGGAGCTTCAACTGGACAACGAGGCGAAGCAGTTCGAGCAGCTTGCACTTCAACAGAACAGTTTTAAGAACCTGCCGCCGCCAGCTCTGCTCGAGACAGATGAGTACAGCATCTAGACACCAGTAAATTTCGTGAGGGTCTGCCCAAGGAAGGCAGTCGACTGCGCCCTGAAGACAAGCGGAGCGAGTGGAAGAATACCCCCCGATACAATGGTGGGACGAGATGGAGAAATGAACGGAGAGACGCTGCGGATTCGCCAGGGTAGCCA